ATGTACCACTAGGCATAACGAGAACTGATGATTATCCAAGATATTCTGAGAATCTATAGCATTACATCTCAAAAGCCCCAATTTTGTTTCTTAAGGACTGGGAGATAGTCCACGACTCACATCCATATGTTGCTACAGGGAAGATGCATGCTCTAAAAATTCTAATTTTTATCGCATCAGTTTGGGAAAATGTCTGTGTAACAGCTCTCTCTCTCTTACATAAGAAGCAGGGCTGTTAGAATGCTGGTTGTTCTCAGACTGCCCAGATTACGAATAATGTTACACTGTCTCTGCCTGTGATCATGCCTACTACTACCAACAGAGGCCAAATATTTAAAAGTGTTATTCATCCATGTTATTCATCAACCGCTGTCCCAATCTGCAAATGGTCCAAGTGACTGACTTTTTTTTTTTCAAATGGAAAGTGGAGTGAAACAAGCCAGCATTCTATCTCTTTTTGTTTGGAGTAGCCATCAATTGGGTAATGCAAACTGTTGCAAAGGCAATACTAGTACTGATTGGGTAAGAAAACAGACAACTGGAAGATTTAGATATCACAGATGATTTTGTTCTGTTTAGTAAAAATAACAAAGATATCCACACAAAAAAGACAATTTGTCATCTACAGCATCAAAAATAGGACCAATAATAAGTTATGAGAAAACAAATATATTAAAGATACCAACAACAGATCATGTAGATATTATGCTAGAGAAAAAACAATTAAAGTAGCAGATTATTTTACCTATTTGGGTAGCAATTTTGACTCCCAAGGAGATACAACGAAGAAAATTATGATATGTATTGGCAAAGCAACAACAGTCTTTAAAAGCTTAAACAAAATAGGGAGCTCCAAGCTTTAAGACCAAACTATGAATCTTCAGTTCTAACATTATTTCAATTCTAACATTTGCCAGCGAAAGTTGGAAAACCAACAAAGATATGGAACAAAAGTTAAATGCATTTAAAAATAAATGTCTGATTAAAGTCATGAACATAAAATAGGATAAATTTAGAGAGTGAGGAGATCAGAGAAGTGTGGAAAAATACCTGTATCGCTGCAATAAGACTGTGGAGATAAACTGGGCACACTCTCAGACAAAATAAGCAAAGAATTAAAAAACAGGCACTGAAATTGGAAACAAGCAGTCTGAGAAAAAAAAAAAAGGACGTTCAAGGAAAACATTAGAAAAACATTTTTACAAGAAACAAAAAATACTGGGCTGAACTCCATGTCAGAAATTGAGAAAGTTACATGCAATAGAGTGGAGTGGGGGAACTGAGTGCGAGCTCCATCTGACGTCAAATGGCATACAAAAGGACCATGATGATGTCCCAATCTCCAGTTGCTACCTCTTCACAGTCATGAGAATTGTTTTGTCCACTGACTACCCCAGTGTGTACTCATAAGTGGTCTCCTAACAGTGAAGGGAAAAAACATTGGCTTTTTCATTATGGCATATGATTGTGTTCCATAAAATAAAATGGGTGTTTGAGGTAGAGTGATCTCATCACCATCATGTAGCAGGACCTTACAGAACATCACTTTCATCCTCACAGCACAGACTAAGTGATGAAGGGTTATGCCTGCAAGGAGACAATATCATCTGGATGATACTTTTGGTCTATGTTACCTAACAACCTGCAGTGTCCCTGCTGCCACTTCTGTTCTCCAATATCTGCTTTTTATCACTTATCTTCTATGAGGGTCTGTCAGTACCAGACAATGTTTAAACAAGCTAGCTGCATATTCTTAATAGGACAGCCCAAACTACCCCCAGCATTTGTTGGCTGTTTATAGTTTTTAGTTAAAGTAAAGGACCCTTTTCCACCCCTCAGACATATTGGGCTTAACCTATATCTTACAGACCAATCGGCATTTAGAGGGCAATATGATCAACATTACGCCAACCGCCTTTACTTCTCAGGACTACACTCAAGGCTGGGTGAACCTAGGAGCCAAGGTCATTTTTTTAAAAAGCATAGTTTTAGATAATTTTAAATTCAGTGGTTTGCAGTTTTGGTCCAAACAGCTGATGATGATACCATTGTCAAAATCAATACAACGTAGTCTGCTTGGAGCTGAACTGAACCCAGAATGTTGGAATTATAAAACTGCATTCACAATCGCTAAGCCAAAGACACCGGCATCAACCTTTGTAACTGTTGTAAACATATCAGAGCTGTGAACAAACAATCAAAAAGTTGTGCTTACAGTTGGACGGATGTTTTCAATATCAAAGTATTAACATTGCTTTTTACATAAAATGTTCCATGTAAGTAGAACATTGTAACAAGTTTTAAAAACTGATACACAAGAAATACTTTAACCAAGAAAACTGATTCAGTTTCACAGAGGAACATGTAAAACCAAAACAGAAATTTTTATACACTTTAAAAAATACATTAAAAACCAGTCTCACTCAAATTTCTATATATTATCAACTGTACTGAACTTGCGGAAAGAATTCTAAAAGTCAAATTGCCGGCCATGTTTCTATATTTCATCAACTGTACTGAACTCACAGAAAGAATTCTAAAAGTCAAACTGCCAGCTGTGTTTCTATATTTCATCAACCATACTGAACTCAGGAAAAGAATTCTAAAAGTCAAACTGCCAGCTGTGTTTCTATATTTCATCAACTGCACTGAACTCACACAAAGAATTATAACAGTCAAACTGCCAGCTGTGTTTCTATATTTCATCAACTGTACTGAACTCACAGAAAGAATTATAACAGTCAAACTGCCAGTTGTGTTTCTATATCTCATCAACTGTATTCAACTCGCAGAAAGAATTCTAAAAATCAAACAGCAAGTCATATTTCTACTTCTCAACATTCATTTTCAATCCATCAGAAAAAAAACATCTAAAAATTAAACAGCCAATCTTATTACACTTTTTCATAAAAAAATTAGCAAGTTGCAGAAAGAATTCTAAAATTCAAGCTGTAAACTGTGTTTCTACATCTCATCAACTGTTTCAACCCAAAGAAAGAATTCAAAAAAAACAGACTGTCAATATTTTTCAAAATACACAGCTTGCTTTCAAAAACATCCAAACTGCCAATTCTACTTCTTTCATATCAATTATACGCACATAAATTGCCTTCAAACACAATATGATATAAGAAATAAAATAACAGATATATTACAAGCAAATGTGTTTTGAATACAACTATTGAGAAATAAGGACACTTAGTGTTTCCATTTTTTTTCTCCATTTTTTTTTTAATTTATCATATAACGTTATGATCAAATCCTGAGTTTATGTTACAATAGAAATAAAATCATCTGCATCAGATTAACTCAGAAAAAAGTCACTCAAATAAGCACAAACTCGCTCTGATAGGCACAAGGACTTTACAAGCTAAGACTTCAGTGCACTGGAGTCAAACTCATCTTTGAGAGTATTTTTTTACTTCTTCTTCTTCTTCTTTTTCTTCTTCTTCCTCTTTCTTCTTCTTCTTTCTGATCGACTTTCTTCATGGTGACAGGGTTAATGGAAGGCGGGATGAGATGAAGGAAGAAAGAGAAATATTCTTAGATTCAGATTATACTATGGGCAGATGTAAGCATATAAACTGATACACAGGGCTATAAAGGGTAACATTTATGAAAAAACATGATCAATTACGTTGGTTCTTTGTCTTCATCATTTGCCCTTTATTTTTCCAATGGAGCATATGCCCTCAACAAACTCCCACGCACACATCCTATCCTTTGCCCTCATGTGTAGCTCAATCTATGCCCTCCCATTGTATTCTCCAATGGAGTACATGCTCTCAGCCAACTCCCACCTATTCTTTGCTATCATGTACAGTCCATCTCATGTCCTTCCCTTTTATTGTCTAATGAGGCAAATGCTCTCAACTAATTCCTGTCCATCCTTTGCCTTCATGTGTAGCTCATCCTATGTTCTCCCCATTTTATTCTCCAATGTAAGCATATGTTCTCAGCCAACTCCGCCTATTCTTTGCCATGATGTGCAGCTCAGTTTTAAACTGTTGAAAAATAAGTTCACACTGTATATCAATTTTTTAAATATGTCTTGATGAGGGAGAGAGTAGTAGGTGGATAGTTGTGGTGGTGGGGGGGGGGGGGGGGGGGGGGATCAAAGACTATCTCTTATCTGAGCAGACAATGATTGTATTAGACACGTGCGATTTCTATTTTCTTTCATTTCCATTTAGCCAAACTATGCCACAGCAACGCGTGGCCGGGTACAGCTAGTGTCTTATAACACTAAGATCAAACCCAGAGTTTATGTTTTAGAATAAGATCATCACATGCAGCTATTTCTATGTTCTCCCCATTTTATTCTCCAATGGAGCACATGCTCTCGACCAACCACAGCCCCATCTTTTGCAACCATGTGAAGCACATCTCATGTCCTTCCCATTTTATTCTTTAATGGGGTATATGCTCTTAATCAATTTCCACCCATTTTTTCCTATTATGTCCACCTCAATTTATTCACCTGTCTCTATTTATCTTTTCCATGGACCTGGTCATTTTTTACTTTTCTTTAATATGCTGGGCTCCAGAGCAAGAACATTCTAGTTATACTGTTATCAGGTTTTCTCAGTTCATGAGCTTACAACCAACTCCCACCCAAACATTGTATCCTGTGCCAACATCTGCAGCTCATTTCATCTCCACCTCATCTTATTCACCAGTCTTCCTTGTGTATTTTGGTCTCACTTTATTTCTTTGGCCCTGTGGGTTTCTTTGCAAGAACATTCTAGTCGTAATGTTATCAGGTTTTCTTAATGTATGTCCTATATAGCAGCAATATCTTTTTCTCACCTCTTGATTCAGTGGAATTTGTTTAGTTCTCTCTCAAAGTTAGCAATTCAATGATGACTACAAAGGAAAGAATTATCTCATAAGCTCACACAAATTTTATAAACATAAATTATATTTTAAATATTTTTTTAAGTAACGTGCAAAGTAATATACATCAAATTAAACCAATATAGACAAAGGCAAGGTGGCCATTAAGAAGCTCCCACAGTGGTTTTTGTAACACTGTCTGGAATTGTTGGATTCTGGACATCTGAGGGCAGGACATCATAACCAAGCTTCTTCATGTCCTTCATAATCACGTTGAGAGAAACCACGAGGAAACCTTGAGTTCTGACTCTAGTTACTGCAGAATATAATAATTAAACATTTATATATTCCTTCAGTTAATATAGGCTTTTCTTGCATAACAATTATATTCTTTGTAAGCTGAGTTAGCGTAGAAGATAGATGCCCACCTGCTGGTGCCCAGGTCTTGAGTTTAAATCTGCATCATCTGATTTTTGTTAAACGACTTTGTAGAGACAAGAGAAAGATGAAATCATCACAGCCTTTGGATTGTTACAACCATCAAAACTGTATATACAGGTTGAAGAGAGAGGAATTAAATAATTAGTATACAGACTAAAAGAACCCATCAGTATATCTAGGTAGCAGAGTGAGAAAAACAATCAGAAAATCTTTACTGTAGACTGACTTACAGAAACCACAAGAAAATCCACCATTTGATGGTAGACACACAAACAGGTAATACTTGGAAACCTTGATTTTAGACCTGAGATAACCTGATAACAGTATGACTAGAATTTTCTTGCACAGAAACCCACAGGTTGGTTTTATTTGTAGTATCCGGACTCAACCTTAATGGAAACAGCACGAGCCACCAAACTAGTGTAACTCCTATGCGTAGATGTGAACATTGTTCTCTAAGTAAGAAGTGTAATCATCTCACCAATGGACAAGTTACAACACTATAATGCCGGCATTCTGCAATGAATCAACATCCTACACAAAGTAAGTAACAGAAAACAGAAACCTTTATAGTAGACAGAATGATTAATAGAAAACCAGAAAACCTGGATTGCAGACAGACTGAAGGATGACACAAACACTCAGAAAAACCTTAATGACAGACAGATGGACCGAGAAAACCCATAGGGAAATTCTAAATTATGGAGAAAAACACTGGTTTTCCTAGATGTTATACCGAGGCAAATTATACATGACAAATAGAAAAGCAGGAAACTCTGGCTATTCCATAATACAGCTATACACATAATCACAAACTGAAAAGAAAAAAAGAAAAAGATCTGCATAATACATAGAAGAATAAGGACAAATCAACTCATGACATATGTATTATAAAGCTAGAGAGCTATCATAGTCACTGTGATCCTTAAAACAAAACTGTTTATGCTGGCTAGAATTCATCACTAATTTCACACACAACACTAACATATAACAGATGTTTTCAAATTTCCAAAAAATTAACATATTTATTTCTGCTATGGGTCATCTATACCAATAGCAGTGGGGGCACTTGTATAGTGATGAGGGTGTTGGGACAGGAACTGGACAGCAGAAGAAGGACTGGATGCTTTTAGAGCACTATCTTGCTCATCCTAGGGGTGGTTTTTGTAGGTTTTATTTGTAGTATTCGGACTCAATCGTAATGGGAACAACACGAGCCACCAAAAGAGTTTAACCTCCCATGTGTGGATGTGAACATTGTTCTCTAAATAAGAAGCGTAACCATCTCACCACTGGGTAATTTATGATACTATAAAATGCCTGCATTCTGCGATGAATCAACATCCTACACAAAGTTAGAAAATGAATGACTTTTCTTGATTCACTTTGGATAGATGTGCTATCACCCCAGCCAGCTCGTCAACGATCCGCAGCAGAACAAATCCATGTGTGGAGAATGCTCATGTTCAATGGTTGTTTTTGTAACGAGGCTAGCAGAAACCATCATGGTTGACATGTGCTGCCCAGTGAAAGACAGTATGGACTAGCATCATTTGATCACTCAGCACAACATGATGCCCAGGCAAGACAAGTTCATGTTCCACAAGTGCAGTCCAGCATGAGGCAACATAGATGGGTTTCATACGATTGTGCCTTATCCAAGCAACACATCCACATGTCCTCTCCACTATGACAAATCATGGTTGGTTTCATGTGATCATACCTTATAACACCTGTATGGGTTCCAGGACCCCATGTAAGGGGGAGGAGAGGGGTGGGGTGAGAATAGACCCATTGCCCCCTCCACCCCTCCCCCACAAGCATGTCATAAAAGTTGACTAATTAGGGGTATTTCCTTCAACGTTAACTGCATCTGCCTGAGAGGTGAGGAACCAACAGTCTGCATACAAAGATGGTCAGATCTGTAAAACAGATGTGCATACAAAATGCAGGTTCTGGAACATGACTAAAGTCTAGAAATGGACACACAAGTAGAACTTTCTGCTAGAGTTTACAGCTGATGAACACACACAAAAAAAAGAAAAAGAAGAAGAACAAGAACTAGATGAGAACAAGAAGAAACCAGGAATAATAGAAGCTGTCTAACTTAAAAATATTATTAATTAAAGGCTTCTTCCTGAAACACAGATACACAAACAAAAAATTTCTACAGAATCAAACATGAATAAAGAACTGTGTGCTGACAATGTTCTGCTTTATAAATAAATGATGACCAAATCCTGCAGCGTGCTAATGGACAGAAAGAAAATTTTGGAATCTATTATGTGCCCTAAAAACAACATATGAAAAGCAAGTTTGAATGCAAGACATTTCCTCCAAATTAACCGAGCAGAGCAGACATTCAGATAGCAAATCACAGGATCAAATGACAAAAGTTACATTAAATAGTCTCTGTTGTCAGAGATTTCATTAAAAAAGGAGATCACATATTATTTACAGGAACAACCAAAAACGAGGGGGACGTTGGGTGGGGGAGTAAGTGCATGAATAAAACCTTGCATTAATGAATCAAGTTATTTGATTATAAAATTCCCTGCCTGATGTTTTATACATCCCTCTTTTTTCAACCTAACTTAAAATTAATTTTTTTTTTTTATGTTAAACTCCTGTTGTTAATAGGCAAAGTATTTATTTATCATAGTGATAACAATAACAAAAACATACAGATTAACCAGTCATCTCCTAGTGAAATGCAGTTTCTTTGTTATTTTGAAACCCCACCCTGTGGCTGTACACGGTTTCTGGGACCTCTCCACCGGTGATCCTCATCCACATGGTGGCACTTCGTGTCATCGGGTGTTTATCGCTTGTGTGATGTCCTAGTGGGGAAAAATCTACTACTACAATAACAAAAAGATAATAAGCTGGTCATCCCTTCCCTACATTGGATTCATAGTTACTTCTTAAATTAAGCTAACGAAATATAACACATTATACTCATTAAGGGTGTTTCTGTGATTTACTCCTGTTTGAATCTTATCCATCAGGTGTTAATCCTACAGAGAGCAATCATGGGCGGGAACAATGACCAACCAACAAATATTGAAAAGAAGAAAAAAAAAAGAAGAAGAAAACTGCAAAAAGAATTTAGCATTTAAAAAAAAAAAAAATTCTCTAAACATGTTACTGTAGTCTGCATATTTCTGATCAACTTAATTATTAGTACTGCTGCAGTAGTAACTCTAATGTTATTTCAGTTTTATAATATGCCAGTGAATTTTGGAGAGCCACTAAAAACAGACTGAACGTTAAATGCATTCGAAAACAAGTAAAGTGAATAGGATCAGTTAAAAAAAAAAAACCAAGATATGAGAGACATGTCCTAATAACTGCTTGTTATATCCTTATTAAAAAAATTTAAAAAACACAGGAAGTGGCAATATATTGGGCACATCATGAGAGGACAAGGTCATTCATCTTTACTTTATTTCCAGAAAATTTCCTAGATCCCAGTTTATGGTGAGTGACCTGGGAGACAAAGCCAGCTATAACAATCCACCAATAATTATTATTATACTGATTCTGAAGTAACAAAGTGGGCATGTTTTATAATGCTGTTTACATCCCTGGAGAAACTGCAGAGAAAAAGCAAGCATTCAGACAATTAAATAATATATCTCACAATTAATTGGGTAAAAAGTGGCAAGAAAAATAGAAAAGTATAAAAATCCACCTATAATTATGGGAGTCGCCATGCCGTAGGGGCTAGATGCTCGCGTGCGGATGGGAAGGTCGTGGGTTTGCTCCCTGGTGGAGCCAGCCTTTTGTTTTTTAAAGTGTCCTTGAGTCCCAGGTCGACCCAGCTTTGAGTGGGCTACCGGGTGCAGTCCCAGAAAGTAAAGGTAGACGGCATGATGCTAACCACAATTTCCATCTTGTGCCAACTGGTCTATAAAAATAAAGGTCTAGCCCTATATGCCTAAAGGCTTGGAAAAGGGACCTTTACTTTCCCTATAATTATTATTACCTATAATTATTATTACCTATAATTATTATTACACTGATCATTATTTGTTTACAAATAAAGTCAGTATATTTTATAGTGCTTACTAATTCACTGCAGGAAACTGGAGAGATAAATGCCCAAGCTTTTAAATAATACACTTAGCAACAAAATGGGTAAAAAGTGGCACACAAAATAACAACAATTTGCTCCCAAGCCAACATAAATTTTTGATAAACTGTTTAAATATTCATAATTTCTTTGCATACGCACATGCAAATGTGTGTGCCAACAGGCTTGCTGGCATGTGTTTGCCCTATAGAAGAATGTCTTCATAAGGTTCCGACTGTGCTATCCTTTCAACAACAGAAATGACACTCATTAAAAGAGAACAGAAAAATCAAGGCCAAGTCTGCGATAAAATTCATGATGATAAAGTTAGTGTCATATCCTTTACAGGACATAGAAAACCAACTTCAAAATGGTTTTGGCTGTTTGTGGATTTACTTGGAAATGTCCCGGTCAGCAGTTTACTATTGCTATCTAAATAGTAGAGCCAGTGTCAGAACCAATAAATAGTTGTCTGCTACCATGATTTACATCAGTACAACAGGACTGACTCTATTAAGCCATAAACAAATTTCCGAGGCATTACAGCTTATCATGAGTACACAACACATGAGTACATGATAGTGCATGAGGCGGGAAAGCTAGCGAGAGACCAAGTTTCATTCAGGCAGACCATGATGAGAGCAACGTTCTGCAAAGGACCTGCTTCATGATGATGATGAGAGCTTATCAATTTTAGTCCCCAAAAAAGTGTGTGCTAGTAGAAGATTACCTTCCCTGCCTTCTCCTTGAGCTACAACTCTGGGATTAACATACTCAGGTCGCCTTCCAAGAACCCAAGCTGTAAACTTCTGAAGCAATGATGAGGACTCGGGTACAAACATGGGAATCCTCAATCGATGCCTGGGAACAGTGCAAAGGTGATGGTAATCGGTATTAACATGAAAATAACTGGACATAATAAAATGACAAATTGGCAAATATTAAATATAAAAACGGTATGAAACAATAACATTGATTAACATATATGGTAGAGTGCCTTAATGGTATGACATTCTTCTCCAACACAAGCAGATAATATACACTTCCCTGTCTAGAAAGTGCGCCTTTTAACAAAATTAGAAACAAGATTGTACCCTCATCATTATTAAGTGCTTATTATTAAGTGCCTTATTGACTGGTCTGGGTGATTATGTTTTTCCACATTCTGATATCTTTGCACCACAGAGAGCAATGTTACACAGATACAGCGTTAACAGAACCAGAGGTAGACCATGCAGATATGGACCACAGAAATATCACAGACACTGAAGGAGTATAAAAATGAAGAAAGAAGAAGAGATGTGGTTTTACAGAAAAATGCTAAAAATTCTGAGGATATGCAAAATGATTAATCTAGATGTTCTGAAAGAGATAAAGGCTCAAAGACAATTTATCAGAAAAAGGCAGTCAGCCTTTGTGGCCTCATTATGAGAAGAAAGAAACACTGGAACCTGTTGTGACATCTGGAAAGATTTATGGAACGAGAGACAAAAGAAGACAGTGTAAGAAAATTGTTGGGCATGGAAGAGTGTCAGCAGATGAACTGATACTTGCTAGTGGAGATCACAAGCTGCGGAAAAGCATGATTACACACACCAGTCTACAAGAAATTATGGACAGATCTGTAAGAGAAAGTTTATTTTTTTATTTTTTATTTTGAACAGTTACAAAAGCAGAAGTAAAGATAACTTACAAAACTAAATGTCTAAAACACAACACTAAGTAAACTGGATAAATCTTAAGCAAGTTGATACATTTAAATACTTCAGTAACCTGATAAAAGAAGATGGACACTAGAGATAAATGTAAAAAAAGCTCGTGCAAAAGCAGTATTTTTTCACAGACTGTAAGAAGTGGGATGTAAAATGTTTAACCTCTACGACCATCCTGCAGCTGTTCAAATTTGCATATTTCTGATATGCAGTTGCACACGGTTATTTTTATTCTGTGCCATGAAAAATTGTTCCTTGTTTTATTTTATATAAGGTCACCCAGTTACAAGCATGCAAATCCATCATTAATCTTTTTTTATGTCTCTCTGATGATGACTGACTATTTTTTCAGTTTACACAAGAAACCCAATTCCTCTGCATGAACAGTGCCAATAATTAAGGTGGTTTCAAGTAAAGCCAGTTCCTCTGTGGCATGGTAGAGATTGCATTATGCTTCCAGAAAGCAGAAATGCCAATGACGTTTGCCGGTCCATTTTTTGTTTGTTCCAGAAAAGCAAAGAATGTGCCATTCTGACCTTTAAATAAGTTTATCAGTATTTCTTCATCTTCTTCCTCCTCCTCCGTTTCTTCTTCTGATTTACCTTTAAAAATAGTATTCTGCACACAGTGTTGTTTATAACTAGGCTGAAATATCTGTACCTTTCAGTCCCATATATCTGATTTCAGTAAACCTTTAATTAGTCTCAACAAAGAAGACACCAACAATAGATTGCACAATTTATTGCCTGCCATTTTTCGCTGTATCTCGTCAGGTGCATACTACAGTAACAATGAACTAAAGCAGGCAAATAAAAGAATGTGCAATCTGTTGTTTGTGTCTTCTTTGTTCATTTTTACAATGGGTAAACTTTGCTTTGTTTCTAATTAGATTCCTATTACAATAAGTTTGATAGGGAGAGTGAGTATATCTCCCCCACTCCCTAACTGGGACCCTAGAACACACACAGGAATCAGGACTGATTAAAATAGCGGCCTCCTTGATAAAGTGGTTAAGCTATCTGCCTTGTGCTCTGACAGGTGTGGGTTTTAATTTCAGTCATTTGATTCACGAGCACACACATTCTGGGATTTCGAAAGGGTCATTGCTGAGTCTAAAAGTGTGTATGTTTGTGACACTTTTGTGGACATCTAACCATTATGTGGAACAAGAATAGGCCATAGGGGATAAAGCTGAATGCAATTAATTCAATCTACACACCTGTAAACATACTTTTTTTTTTTTTTATTAAATATCAAAATTCACTAATTAAGTCAAATTAACCATTCTGAAATAAATTAATTAATGTGAATCATTTTTGCTTATTAAACATTTTGAATCTATCAAAAGAGTAATACAAGAAACCATAGTTTAATAAAAAGTGAAACTTAATATTTTTCATAATGATTGCATAGTGTGATCATTCTCCTTTCACAATCCTGTCTTTAAAAAAAGTTCATTTAATTGATTTACTTTAAAGAGCAAAAAGATGGCAGAAGAAGAAGAAGAAATGTTGCTGTAACCCTAGGCATGTGACTGAAGGGATGGTGACTTCCAGGCAGCTTGAGAAAAAAGATTTAATGTATAATATTACTAAGAGATTAATGTAAAATGCTTTAAGATTGGTCTCAAATGTTATATTTCAACGTGTAATATCGTTGGGAGGGAAGTAGAGTGCTGGGCTCTCATACTGGAGACCTGGGTTTGATCCTCAGTAAGGGATGAACTTTTTTTTCTGTCTGGATAAAACTATAACTTTTAACCTGCACAGTTTGTGGCAACTGCAAGTATGTTGCAATCCTCATGCTTACATCCCACAACCCTCATCCTCAACCCTAGGGATGAACTTTTGTTTCTGTCTGGATAAAACTATAACTTTTAACCTGCACAGTTTGTGGAAACTGCAAGTATGTTGCAATCCTCATGCTTACATCCCGCAACCCCCATCCTCAACCGTAGGGATGAACTTTTGTTTCTGTCTGGATAAAACTATAACTCCTAACCTGTACAGTTTGTGGCAACTGCAAGTATGTTGCAATCCTCATGCTTACATCCCCCAACTCCCATCCTCAACCCTAAAAGTGGTAAATAAATTCGGTAAACAAATTTATTCCTTTTTCTTTAATTATCCTCCGAAAAGCAAATGAAAATACTTTAAATATCAACTCTGTTGGCAACTGATAACAGTTCAATTAATTCAATGCCAAGAAACACACCATGCATTTGTTGGGTTCTAATTATATTATAGATTTTTCAGAACTCTCAAGCCACATCCAATTTTTATACTAACCCATCCTGCTCATAACTGGTTTTTTTTATTTTTTTTATTTCTCTCAAAATACTATTTTTTTTAAATTAATCTGAAAATGTATTAATTAAAGCAAAACTTTCTAACAGAGAATAAATTAAATTAAATCCGAGTTTCAACTGGCTAGACAAATGAATTTATTTTTCTCAAGGATAGCTCAGTTGAAGTGATTTTTTTTTTATTTATATTCTGCTGTAACTGTAATAAGACTTAACAACCTTTTTAAAAAAAATACTACAGGGTGCAATAGAGGGGAAGGGGAGAAGAGATAGACCCAGAAAGACCTGGATATAGAACTTGACTGACTGGACAGGCCTTAGGCACACAGACATAAAGTCCGTTACATCTGACCATCTAAGGTGGTGGGAGCTGATCAGACAGTCAACAGCAACTGGTGACCCAACAACAGTTAGTTACAGCTTGATGATTATGATGACCATGAACTGTAACACTACCTGTTCATTTCACAAGCTGTTGAATGCTTTCTAGCCGCAATGTTCACATGTCATTTTCACTTACATTTAGTTTCATTTGTTTTCAATGAAAGAGTTAGGCACAACATACCTCCCAGGTGTTACTGGTACATGGCACACACCATAGCCTCTAATGACATCTGTACCAAAGGCATCTAAACCATAAGCATAGACTACGAGCTGTGGCCCTTAAATCAAAAGAAAAACACACAAACAAAAATTAAGTAGAAGCCATTCCTCTTTTTCTCTTCGGCTTTTGCATTCACCTTTAAATGGGTGACTAACACAGCTCGTGTGGTTTACAGCTAAGCTGCAAAATCGACACCTTTCAGCCAACAGACCTGTTTACAACAAACACCTAATCCAGTGATTCCCAAACTGTGCGCTGCAACCTTTTCAAAGGGATGCCACAAAATATTGTGAAAGCTTTATAATTCATTTAACCAAGACACAAATAGTGATACCTTTACTTAGGTTAGGGTGCCGCAAAAAAATTTCATTTTTAAAAAAAAAACGCTGCAACCAAGAAAGGTTTGTGAAACACTGACCTAATCAGTGACCTTGTATGACATAATTGTTGTGGAGGAGGCAGTAGGTGCATTTTTTTTCTCCTTTGAACAGAGGGCCCAGAATATACACAGGGATCCTTCTTCATTCAGCTGAGGCTGTCATTATGTTATGTTTTTCTCTCTCTTCACATTGCGTTCAATGTGTCCTGCGCCGCACCAAGTGTTTACGTTCAATAATGAACTTCCCTTTCATATACCCATATATTGCACACAACACTGTGACATGTAACTTTCTATCAACGTTTAGTCTTCCTCAGGCATTTGTTGACTGCGTTAGCCTCCCCAGCAGAAGCAATTAGTTATATTTATTTAATGCTTTATTACAGAGTAAAGAATAAACTTTAAAAGAAGGTTAAAGGTGACAGGATCAACATCATTCCACATGGTTTAATCCTATTTGGCCCGGTTTCTCTCTGCAAAAAAAGGTTAGCTGCCCATGGAGAGTGCCAGACAAAACAAGAACTGTAGCTCTAGTGATGATCTTCATAACAATTAAGTGAACTGAACGGTATAGTCAGTGAAATGAACCCATGGCCTTTACAGTGTGAGGCAAAATGGCTTGACCACACCATCATGGAGATTCCTGCATCAGAACATGCGGCTGGACACTTTACAAGACCATTGTTCCAAGGTGGTCAGGTATTCTAACATTGTCTTTTATTGGTAATAAAATAGAATAATGCCATGAAAAGCCAATTCAAATATATTACATCGCATTATAGATATACCGTCTCAAAGAGCCAGATGGACAAACTAGAGCGCACACAGAACGCGGCTATGCAGGTCATTCTGGGTTGTACCAGAGACACCCCAGTGGTGTGTATGCGATACATCCTTGGTTTGCCGATGGTAGCAGGTAGGCACAAGGTGCTGCAGGTGAAGTCATATCTCAGGGTAGCTGCAGACACAGACCACCCCCTGCATGGAGCTCTGGGTGCAGTTAAGGGTCAGCGGCTGATAAGAGGGAGGTCATGGATGGCTCAGGCAGAAGACACAATCAGACAGGTTTGCATCCTTGAGAACATAAGGCGAGGAGAGGAGTGGGTCAAAGTGCCACCTGAGCAGTCAGACTTGTGTAGAGTCATAATCACGCTGAGCTGGGAATGCAGAGACTGGCCAGCAGGTGCTACAGAGGTGGAAATTCAGCAATTAATTCAAGATAATGCTCGCTCAGAGGATCTGATCATTTACACAGATGGTTCAGTGTCAAGAGGCAAAAGAAGTGCTTGGGGTTTCTTAGCAAAAGTTAATGGTCGACGTTTGTTGCAGGAGAGCCTAGCATATGATACAACATCCAGCTTAAGAATGGAGGTGGAGACGGTCACTGCAGCTAGAGAACATGACAAACACACACATCGTGATTGTAACTGATTCAGAAAGCATGCTGAGGAAGATCAGAACAGGTATGCTTCGTGCAGAGTGGCATGCTTCGCTGCGGAGGACACAGTTGAGGAGTATTGTCTGGATTTTTCACCGGGTCACGCCGGTGTGTTGGGAACAGGCGGACAGACTGGCTGGCTCTGCATAACTTGGTGGAATACTGCTACATGATAGGGCAGACAAAGTTAGTGCCTTGTGGCAGAGTGTGTACAATTCGGAGGAGCAGATGGATCACCAGAGTCTGGTGAGATTGATGCAGTTGGGGGTGACGAGAGGTTCTGGCAGAAGCTCGAGGCTCAGAGGAAAGGCAAGACGGACGTTTAATCAGAAAGCTACTGGCACCATTAGTATCGGAACTCTTCGCTGGCTGCTGAAGATGGGGACGGAGCGCTTATGGGAATACCCCGAGTGCTGTGATGTCGGTTCTTGAATCAAATCAAATCAATCATATAGATATTCCCCATATGGGTTTCAGGCCCCATTGTGAGGAAAAAAAGAACACACCCACTGCCTCCCCAACAAGCATGTCATAGGATCAACCAATTGAAGGCTTCCTTCAAAGTCAGAGTGCATCTGCTGCAGCAGTAAGGAAAACCAACTGCACACAAATAAGCCAAGAAAATGGATGTACACACAATACTCAGGCTCTGACACAAAAGCAAAGTCAAAAAATATGAACAACCAGGACCTTCCGATAGAGCTTACAGATGGGGAACAAAGAAGACGTAAGAAGAAGATATTATAGATATCAATACAGTACCATACTTACGGTGATCAAACAGAAAATGTGGAATAATATAGTTATTAGTCTTTTTCTTGTCACACCTTCTCTATCAAAGCAGTAGAACTGTGCTGACTCAAGCTTTGCTGTAATGTATTCTTAGCAACTGAAGTTTATGACTGTGTGACAGGTGCTGGCTAATGTGAGCCAGTCTCATTGCAAGATGATGATGATGTCATTACATCTGAAGCAAAATGCCTTGTAAAAATGAGTATAAGAATTGCCACGGTATACATGGTCCTAAGCAAGATTCAAAAGATACCAATAAAAAGATGTCAACTGCAGTGAGGAAAAGGGTGTTTAAGTGACAGGCAGAACCTGTTAGACACATGTGAGATGTAGACAATAATTAGCAGGCAAGCTGAAAGACAAATACTCAAAGCAGAGATGTGATTTTTTAGAAGAATGCACAGAATGTCATGGAATCATAGAAAACAAAGGCGGCAGTCCTCTTCAAGACAGATGAAAATGGTAAACTGATTACCGATATTCAATGTAAACAGTCAGTTCGTTTTGTCTGGGGGGTGGTTGGATGGGGGAAAAGGGAAGGGGGGGGCATATTATGAGAAAGAAAGGACTCTAGAACTCGGTAGCAAGTGGCAAGACTAATGGGAAAGGTGTAAGGATTTGTGAAGTGTGTAAACTATATTTTTTCTGACTAAATAGTCAGGATCTTACATCCAGCAGGACTTGTGCTCTTGAAGGTGGCATCAATGGGAAAATTCCATACAAATCTTTTGTACTGATCTTGACTTTTCTTGGTCACTTGAGTTATGCTTTCTTCAAGTCCCTATTTAAGTAAACAAATGATTAGTATCCATACAATGTTTTCATGAATAACATAAACAATAGTTTAATATGATATAAATTGTTAACTTTCTTGGCCTCACTCTCCATCTCTCTCTCTCTCTCTCTCTCTTTCTATTTCTTAATGTGTGCATGTTGGTGTAAGCACGCATGTGTGAGTGTGCAGGTGCAAAAGATCCATTTCCACACTTTGAAGTTTGTTGAGAATATGGTACTAATTCCATATTGTTAGAGATCAATTAGCACACTACGCCCAGAGGAAAGGCAAGATGCATACAACCAGACTACAACTGGCACCATTAGTATTGGAACTCTGCACTGACTGCTGAGGGTGGGAACAGAGCGTGTATGGGAATGCTGTGATGTGATTGTAATTCTTAACTGAACTCAACTCAGCATTTGATGGACAGTGTAGTGAACATCACACCGGCCACCTTACTACCAAGAATACTGCATGTTGGGTTGGTCTGAGATGAAGAAATTTATCCTTTCTGACTTGTATGAATTTTAACAAATGGCCTTTCTTCAATTTTCACTCTACCCTAAGAAATTAGAAGAAGAGAAGTAAGAAAGTAAATTTTACCCTACCAGGACATCACACAGAGAAATAAACACCCGGTGACACAAAGTGCCACCATACAGATGAGGATTACCCATGGAGAGGTCCCAGAAACCATGTTCAACCATCAGGCTACATTGCGGCACCCGGCAAAAGCCAGGGTGGGGCTTCAAAATAGAGAAAAATTGCGTCCTACATGGGGACGACCTTGTTTAAGAAGAGAAGGAACAAAAGAAATTTATAATCATGAGAAGTTTTTATAACTATCCAGGAAATTAAACATTTAGACCAATGAGCAGGCAGGCAGGCGTGAAGTCCTCTATTTCTCTGATGACACCACATAACTAAAATGATTAGCAAAAATGCTCTCATTACTAAATGTCTGAATGAATACAAGATTTATTTCAATGTAAAGGGGAAAATTCACTAAATACAAACAGAGACAAGAGTTATCTTTCTTCCCTTTAACTATCTAAAAGTGGTTTGGACTATTTTTTTAAACAAAAGGCAATCTGACGGAGTTCTGAAATTATATGATAGCATGGTGATGTAACAATTTTTACAAGAAGATTTTTTTCACTGTAAATAATTCCTTTTAAAAAAAATAGAGGTAAATATAATCACACAAACCACGTGTAACACAATCACACTGTCTATCAGTCTAAGTCGTTCTAAATCCCTATCCGTCGGCACGACACAATCCTAACACACACAGTTATTATCTATAGCAACATTCAGTCATGTTGAACAACAAACATGTAGACGGACTTACAACAATTACAAACTATTTTTACCTAACAAACATTTTAATTTAGCACTTATAATGACACTAATTAAATCCCGATATAACTATCTATTATTGAGAGATGCTACTGACAGCGCTGTAAAATATTAAGGTGAAGCCAACAACGTCATCAACAATTAAGGACTCATCTCGATAGCTATATCCAATATTAAGGACAAATAACAGCATCACTCTAGCACTAATCCAAATAATATTAAACACGCTATTAAATTCCTATTTTACCTATCAAAAATATCTACAGAAAAAATACCTCACTTTTCCTATCAGCTATTAAATTAAGCACTTTGGGTTCCCACAAAATCCACGGTAAGAGCGCCCGACTTTCCTGTCAGATTGGTTCAAATCCTACGGAACGACTGCCCCACTTTCCTGTCAGGAACCTAATTGTCTAGGGTTCGATTCCATTAGCTCTGCTATAGGCTAATGACAGGAAAACACTGTTGACAACCACACTCAAGCCAAACACTGGTTGCAACACACACACAATCTTTATTATCAAGGATATAAACGTGAAGGGAAAACCCCCCAGGAGGGGTAGCGCTCCTTATTCTGAGACCAGGCCGCGTCTAACTTTAAAATCGCTTAAAGGCACCTCACACGTTCATGATATAAGCTCTGAGCCGCTACCACTCTCCCGTACAGCACTAACTCAACCCGCTGTCTTCTGATGCCAAAGACACTATGGCACACGCCACGTGTAGGCCTAGGTGCGTCGACAGCACTAATGCCACAAACAATGCATGGTCTGGCTTATAGTTACAACTACTGACACAGTCTAGCTACTACCTTAAATGAAATATTAACTGAGATCTAACTAGAACACATACTATCTACTCTGTAACTAATTAAATACATTTAATGACACTAGGAACAGAACGTGTTACAGCTACTAACTACACTGGTACATTCCTACATGTCAAAACGAACGGTCACTAAATCTAACAATCTAAACTCTCGTCCCACGTCAAGCTACACAGCAGTCACACAAGCGTCATGCATCCAGTCCAGAATCTCCAGTGTCTAGCCTGCACACCCGTTTTGTTCTGCGTTCCCGAGTTCATGCGGTGGTTGGTCAACCTTTGTGAAGTCCGCTTGTCCTCGACCAAGCTACGCTTCGCTCATATGTTCATCCTCATTTATATGTGTGTATACACGTACTTGAGTTGCACTAAGGGTCGCAGGGTACAGTGACAAGATTAATCATCATCATGCTAAACTGTCTCATAACAGGGCGAACCCTGACACCCACCAAGTCTACACATTGTGCAGTTGCAACCAGCACCATAGCTGTTATACAGGTACAGTGACCACTGCCCTAAAAACTCCAGTCATTAGAAAGAAAAAACTAGCTTAGATATTGGCTATTATGAGGCAAGTGGGTTAAAAATCCACCTCATAGGGCAGGGCTATTCAACTGGCTACCCACAGGCCAAATCTAGCTCACAGCCACCTAGCAATGGACAAATGGATCTGTGCTAATTGTATTGTATCAATTGAATTTCTATGATGAGACAATGGCCTCTGACCTGTGAAGATCCTTATTTTCAATACTGTTGCCCCTGAGTAAACTTAGTTGAAGAACTCTGTCATAGGGATTCTATGGCCCCCAGGTCCTAAAGCGAGCTTGCTAGGCACTGCATGATCGTAGCTTCTCTTCTCTGTAACAGTGTTTTGTTATGGATTACTTACTGATGTCATAGCCCAGTCGAGGCCATACGAAAAACAGTACTTGCAATAAATGTCATCAAACTCTGGAAACTGTAAAAAGAAAACAACAATATTTGAAATACCAAATACAATACAAAAGTCTAATACTAAATTACATACAAAGACAAGAAATAAAATATTTTGCAATGCCTTGCATTGCCATACCATACAAAGCCAACACCAAAAGTGGAGAGGGATGAAGATCATGAGGTAAATCAAGAACAAAATGAAAAGATCATATCAAAGAAACTAAAACAGTAAAATATGGCTATTTTTGAGGCAGCCAGAAGAGCAAGAAACAGAACCTTATATCTCCCTTGAACCTAAAAACAGCACACACAAAAGAATTGAAGAAGTAGAAATAAAACGAGGTGGTGTCAAAAAAAGACTAATAAACAAAAAAGATTCATCCTTATGTTTAAATTCACATTCCATTCTAAAAGGTTTACAATGTTTAAAAAAAAACTATAAAAGTTACAGTGAGACACTAACTTCAATTAGAGAGACAGTAACTATCGGCTGTGATAATATAAGAAGAAATGATACTCTTCATAATCTAGTTTTAACAAGCATATTATTATTCAAGAGTGATAAGCATCATTTTTCTACCAATCATGTGGTACCAGGCAGTACTAGAAAATAACCTAAACAATGCACTAAATCTACATTATGTTAAAACATGTCAAAAGAAAATGTGAAATGTTAGAGAACAGTTTCATGGAATATCTACTTCTATATTTCTAAATACGGATGCAGCAGATTGATAACAGACAAGTGATATCACATAGTGTGTCAGGGGTCGTCCTGGTTATGGGACAGTTCAGTATGATGATGATGAATCCTAAAGATAGACCCCGCGACCCTAAGCTAAACTTAGTACGTGTATACACACGCAAAAATGTGGGTTAGCTGAACGAGGCTGGTTGAAACTCAGCGTGGCTTGTTCAAGGCCGGCGGATTTCACGTAGGGATGACCGCCACGTGGATACTGCAAGGGCTAACAAAACTGCTGTGCAAAGCCCAGTTCAGGACTCTCTTGGCTGAAGACTTGTGTTGTAGACATCATGTGTGATCGGACTATTATATTGTGATAGTTTCATTGACAGATAGTATTGACTAGTAGAAATGTACCATCGTAGTTATTAGCTGTAATGCGTACTGTTCGTGGTGTGATTAAATGTATTTAATATGTTACAGGGTAGATAATACGTGTTCCATTTAGATCTCAGTTTGCATTAGATTTAGGGTAGTAGTTAGACTTTGTCAGTAGTTGTAACTCTTTAAGATAAGCCAGACCATGCATTGTTTGTGGCGTTAGTATCTGTTGACACACCTCTGGGCCCACATATGGCGTGTGCCCTAGCGTCTTTGGCATTGGGAGACAGCAGGATGAGAAAGCGCTGTACAGGAGTGTGGAAGTGGCTCGGAGCTAATTTCATGAACGTGAAAAGGCGTGTCTAACGATTGTTAAGTTAGAAGAAGCCTGGTTTCAGAATAAGGAGCACTACCCCTTCTGAGGTGTAAGCCTACTAGTTTCTTTTGATAATAAAGATTGTGTGTGTGTTTCAACCAGTGTTTGGCTTGGGTGTCTTTGTCAGCAGTGTTTTTCTGTCATTAGCCTGCAGCGTAGCCAATGGAATCGAACCCTAGACATCAAGGTTCTTGATATAGTGCAATATTTAAAAAGATATAATCTACTTGACAGATAATTGTTTTTGTTCTGACATTTGGAGTCACCAGGTTGAGATCTGACAACACTGACATGCCACAACACAGACAATCAACAACTAAACCTCAACTACTTCTAGGTCAGACTGAGCGAATATGGGCTTGTCCCAAGTGTAGTGCCATTGATTTAACATTATACAAGGAGAAGTCATTAAGTAAACGTAACAGTATTCCAGTCTACATGGAACAGTATGCAGAAGAAAAAATATTATTTCAGGACACAGAAGTACTGAAACATCCAGCATACATCTTACATATGTTATGTTATCATAATTGATGTCACTGCACTTTGGGCATTTCCATGTGTGCACAGTCCTCCGATGCAGCAGCCACTCCAAAGTACTTCTACTAATTGTTTCCATGAGAAGCTGGTTATACTGTCTCCTATCTCGGCCTCGAAGACGGCACAGACATGCTTCACCACGCTTTACTCCAATGTCACGCAATCATGTTAGTGTCAGGGATTCCTCATTATCCACTAGCCCAGTCCATACAGTGTTGACAATATCTGCTCTGTCTATGCTATTTCCCCACAGTCCATAGTGCAGTGCTTGCCAGCTGGTACGCTCGCTTATTTTCCTTTAGGCTCGCATGAGCCAGTGTGTAGATCCAGGTGAGGGAGGTTGAGTGTGATTTTTTTTTATGCTTTCTACCCATTCAGAGTGCATACCACCTGTTGCTATTTTCTGAACCATATTCATGGAGTCTGATACAATCACTGACTGTGTGGCGTTTTGCTCGGATACCCATGCTAATGCTCTAGAAGCAGCGGCCCAGACTTGACACCACTGGACTTGCATTTGTTTGGCCCACTGAAAGAACATTTGCGGGGTCAAAGATTTGCAGATGACAATGACGTGATGTAGGTGGTCCAAACAAGGCTACTGGCCACATGCAAAAGCTTCAACCTGGCAGTCACCATAATCTTGTGGATCGGTGGACTACGTGTGTTGCAAGGCAGGGAGATTGTGTCAAGAAATAGAACACAAAACAATTTTGTGCTAGTCATTTGTCAAAAAAAAACATTATTAATTAATGCACTTGCTTTTATTGAATGACTTTCCCTCGTAATTCCTAAAACTGCAGTTAATATTATATTTCAGTGGTTCCAAATACATTATTTCTTGTTTGATTATTTCTTTTATTAGTTTTTCTTCTTCTTTCATTTAAAAAAAAAATGTCAATTCTTTCTTGAAATAAATTATCTATATCTGCAATGTTGTCTCTAGTTTGAACTTCTGTCTTTTGCAATTCACTAAGTGACCTATAAAAGTGTGGCTTCCACCGGTGTTTATCTTGGCCAGAAATTTTGCCTTGTCATGTTGTATTTTGGACAGTCTTGGAGGATGTGATTTGCTGTATTAGGTACCAATCCATATGTGCAAATGGCTGATTCACCAATTTTAAGCTCTTAATCTTTCATTAGTGTTTCACGCACAATACTATTTATCAAGACACACAATTTATATTTGAGCTGTTAAATGATAGAGTCCTGGATGAGGCTCTATTGGATATTTTAAATGGCAAATATGATTTTCAAAAGAGTATGCAAAGGCTTCTTTGAGAAATGGTTAATAGAAAAGAGAATAAAAAGGAGGAGGAGAAGAAAAGACAGCACAATTAACTGAATTATAATATCAATAAGCAGGAGCAGGATACGATAGCACTAGTGAAATAGTATAAACTATAATTAATTTATATTTATAGTAAATTAAAGTGTTATAATTATATATTAAAAGGAAAAAGATATAATAATAAGAAGAAGAAGAACAAGAAGAACAAGAACAAGAACAAAAAGAAGAAGAATGAGAAGCGGAGAATGAGGAGAGGCACAATATCAGTCCATAAGACCAATTATTCTTTGATTATTGACAGTGCTGCTACTTCTAGTCATTATATTATATACAGATGGGTCTGTAGTGAGAGGTAAGAAGAATGAGTGGGACTTTATTGCATAAGTGAATGGACACTGCTTGAAAATAGAGAGCCTCCTATACAATGTCACTATATCCAGAATGAGAATAGAGGTGGAGGCAGTAACGGCAGTTTTCCAATGGCCTGAGAGCAGCACTGACCGTCATGTTGTAAATGTAACACATTCACAAAGCATCCTTCAGAAAATTTAAACAAAATGTCAGATATTCAGGATAGCATAGATTTTAATTTTATGTCCAGGATATTCAAGTGTGCAAGGTAACGAGCAGACTGATAGATTTGATGCCGCTCCTTTGGAGACTGAGCTACTATATTATAAAGTGGATGTAGTGAAGACTCTATCTGATCACATCACTCTATCTGATCAAATAAAAAGTTCAAAAGAACAGATTAGGAATCCATACACTGAAAGTCTACTTCAAGGGGAAATATGGGGGGGAAAGGGAGGCGGGGGGGGGGGGGTGTTATGTAAGGAGGTTCTGGAAGATATTCAACATTGAGAGGGAAACATGCTGACTTTGAATCAGGTTGAAGCAGTTACTTTTAGCATGTCAACTCTTCGTTGATTACTGAAAAAAGGGAAGAAGCACGTGTGGAAACGTCCTGACTGCAGTGATGTCAATCCAAAGCTATGCATGTTTACACTTGACAACGGAGATGTTTATCAGTTTATCCAGCAAATTACTGCTCAAAATATCATTATTATGCCTCCACAATTTTAGCGTTAAGAAATAAGTTTATAAGTAGTATTGTGTGGGGAAAATACACAAAAATGCTACAAGAAATCTTTACTACCTCAGCTGATTCAATCTGACCACTGACCATCACCAAAAACACCGAAGGGACTGCCATTTTGAAATCTCGGCGACTGTCAACAATGTCTTGACTAAACAAAAGTTGTAGCTTTAGACAGACATTAAACATGCTGGTGTCTCCAATTTACTTCGATTTAATTAGCCACTTTTATAAATACTATAATAGAATAAAAGGTCACAGGCAGGATAACGAAAGACAAACAAAGAAACCATAACAATAAACATCAAGAAATTTAAAGAAGACTATATAACTTTAACTAAAGCTCTGTGTGCTTGTGTTGTCCATCAAGATGATGATGACCACTCTTTTTCATTAAGTATGAGTACGAAGATGACTGATGAGGCCGATGAGGGCCCGAAAAGTTATTGGACAGTGAGGACAGAGAATGAGCGTTGTGCCAGAAAGGAGATTTCCTGCAGTCGCCTTTCTGTCCATCCGTTTCCTAATCAGTCTTGCTGTTCTGTTTGCTTCACACGTAGCCGCGCTCTTCTGATTAGTGATTAGAAGGGATTATCATCACAGCACTACGGACAGATCCATAGGTGCTCCGATCTCCTCCTCAAAATCTCCACAAGTGTAAAACGGCTGATAAAGCCTGTTCTGTGTTGGTTAATGAGACGTCTTGTGCTCTTAGTGAAATGTTCATTTCTTGCAGCTCCAGGCTGCACCCCATGTTCATCAGTCTTATCTGTGGAGCAGCCCGGCTTTCTAGCGAAGTTGGTTAAACCTGACGTTCGCGGCGGCCGGGTGACGAACTCCTTGTGGTCCGGGTTCACTCCCGGGGGTAGGCAGAAAAGCCACATTTCTCCCAGATTAACGGTACCTATAATGGAATCAAGGCCGAAGGGTTGCGATATCCATAGTACCGAGCCAAAGGGTTTACAACTCATGGTTTCTGGATACGTAAAAAAAAAAAAAAATCTGTGGAGCAATTGAAGAAGATGTCAGCTCAAACGCACGTACTCCGTCGCGTAAGCTGAAATCCTCGACCGAAATTTTCCGCGTCCTTGTGTAGTTGCACGCCATACATTTCGGTCTTGAGAGGCAGCTTCCCAATTGGTGTCATTCATCCCAAATGCTTTGAATGAAGACTTCAAGGTATCCTTAGAGTGTTTCTTTTGCCCGCTTTGGGAACGTTCCCCATTTTGCAGCTCATCATAGAAGAGTTTTTTTTTTTTGGAGGGGGGAGGGGGGAGCCTATGGTCTGGCATGCGTGCCACATGACCAGCCCAACAAATTTGATACTGCATCAATAGAGTGTGGATGCTGGGCATGGCTGCTTTCTCAAGGACTACGATATCAGGTACTTTGTCCTGCCATCTGATCTGCATTAGTTTTCTAAGACAGATTGTGTGAAAGTGGTTTAACTTTCTAGCCTGGCACTGGTATACAGTCCATGAGTCGCATGCGTACAGCAGTCTAGTTAATACAACTGCTCTGTATACTTTAAGGTATGTCTGCAGGGTTATGCCACTTCTGTTCCAAACATTTTTTGTACAATCTGCCAAAGGCAACGCTAGCCCTAGATATCCTTGCATTTTCTTTGTCATCAATTATGGCGCTCTGTGAGAGGATGCTGCCTAGATAAGTAAATTTCCTGACAACGTTTATTCTGTAGCCATTCACTGTGATATTGGGCTCGATGTATCTTTGCCTTGGGGCTGGCTGGGGCATGGCTACAGTTTTATCTTTGTTGATGGTGAGTCTAAAGTTTGTACAGGCATCATTGAATTTGTCGATGTTGTGCTGCATTTCCGCTTCTGTGTTGGCATAAAGGGCACAATCGTCGGAAAACAGGAGCTCCCTGATGGTGTCTGATTTATTTTTTCTTTTTCTTCTCAGCCTCCTGAGGTTGAACAGCTTTCCATCCATGCGGTCAACATATATGAGATGGTGATTAAAGAATGACTTGCGCGGTGACTTGGATTAAAGTGAGGAAGAGTTGCGCAGTGTCGTCGACCTCACTCTCTCTCCAAACTCATGTCTGGGTCCAGTAGCAAAACAGCCAGAACGACTGGAGATATGTTTAGGTGCAGTGGATGACCAGGGCGTCCTACGTGTAACTATATTGTAAAAATGGGGAGGGGGGGGGGGGGGTTCTGAAAGATATTCAACTAAAGCTAGTAGCAAAGTTGGTAGCAAATAAAACAATGCTCAGGATTGGATGAGGTGATTTCACCGAAACACTATGAAGGACATTGACCGAGTCGCTCTGTTCCAATTGTTTAGGGGGCAGGAGGATAGAGAGAGAGAGAGAGAGAGAGAGAGAGAGAGAGAGAGAGAGAGAGAGAGAGAGAGAGAGAGAGAGAGAGAGAGATTTGATGAGCGTCACTGACGATATGGAGTTCTGCTTTGTGTGACGCTTTCAGCACAGGATATGCTGCTCTGCGGAGAGAGACCAAGACTTGCAGGAAAAAGTCGATGCAATAAAGTCGATCCTCTCTACTCTGAATCTGTAAACAATAAAGCCCATTAACTAGATCCGTTTCAACCCAAGAATTCCGACGGTTTTCCCTTTCTTCTGCTGGCTTGTTTATGGCGTAACTTTTTACTTTAGACCTGTTTAAATATAAAGGTCCTGCAGTGCAAGCATGGTGAACAGTTTATGGGTAGGGTGACCATACGTCCCCTTTTCACCTTGTCCGGTGAGAAGGGGGAAATCGTGGATGGCGAAAACAGAAGACACAATACGACAAGTATGCATGGTGGAGAACATTAGGCGAGGAAAGAAGTTGGTTAGAGTACCAGAAAAAAAAGTCTGACCGGTGAAGGTTTATGATCACATTGGGCCAGGAGTGCAGCGAGTGGCCAGCGGGTGCTACGGAGGTGAAAGTCAAACAGTTGATTCACGACATTTCAAGCCCAGGTGATGTGATTATCTATACATATGGTTCGGTGGTAAGAGGAATGAGAAGTGCCCTTAGGGTTCAAAGTGAAAGGCAGTGGAAAATCGTTATTGCCAGACAGCCTAGCATACGACATCACAACATCTAGCATGGGAATGGATATGAAGGCGGAACTGCAGCTCTCCGGTGGCTAGAGAATAAGATGCACGCGCATGTCGTAATTGTAACTGACTCTGAAGTCATGCTGAGAACGGTGAAGACAGGGATGCTTCGAGCAGAGTGACAAGCTTCACCAGAGAGATCATGGGTAGTGACCATACTTTGGATCTTTTCTCCAGGCCATGCCGGCATAGTTATAATGAACAGGCAGATAGATTGGCTGGATCTGCACCACTGAGTGGTGAACTGACACATGACAAGGCAGATGTGGTCAAAGCCCTTTGGGAACAAGCAAGCGGAATCAGTAGGGAAAGAAGATTATTATGACCTGGAGAGAATGAGGCACCTGAGTGTAACAAGAGGGTCTGGCCGGCTCAGAGGAGAAGCAAGACGGACATATAACCAGATTGTGACCGGTACCATCAATTTGAAGATGAGGACGGAACGCATTTTTTATCTCACTACTATAGTAGACAGTAGGGATTACAGGCTCCTTGTGTGTACACTTTGTTGTAAGTACAAGAACTCATTTTAATATATTAAAAAAAAAAAAATCCCTGGCAATCCTAGTAGTTGTAGTGGTCGTAGTAGTGGTGGTGGTAGTAGTGATGGTGGTAGTAGTTTATTTGAAATCCCTTCGTGTTGCACAGCGCATTATTTCGTGCGTTGAGCATGATAATGTAGTCGTCTGATAAAGTCTGACAATGAATAACAGAGCACGCGTTGTCGTAACATGAAGAATAGTTTCTTTTTCGTTCAGGATTTGGCTAGGTTGATCCAAAATCCGTCCAAAACTGATGCGGTGATACATACGGTCGGCTGTACAATACAATTCCATGCGTTCCTCCTTTTGGTGTCGGTCAACATCCATGGTATCCAATGTGAACACACCTTCAGATATTGCTGTTTCATACGAACAACACTTTGAACTGTCCAAACTGACACATCGAAATCTGTCGATAGCGAATTTATGCTTCGACAGCGATTCATCTGTATTTCCGCATCAATTTTGGTAACATCTCCTCCCCTACCCCCCCCCCCCCTCTTTTTTTTTAAAGTTGCAAACAATATAGGAAAGATCTGACGTATACTCACGTCCTTTCGTAAAATATGTGTGCTCAGTCTTTCACGCTTTTCTTTGACGTACAGGTGTTCCTGTAAGCTACCTGCATTCTACGATGAATGTCCGCTTATGGGAGATATCCTTCAAATTAAAGAAATGGAATCACTGCTATTTAAGCGTCTTTCGCGGATTTTGGATCATTCGCGGGTTTTGGATCCGCCTGACAATTTTTTAGCGGTCAGTAACATAGCCTATGCATCATGGGAAGATAAGCATGTGTACTCCTCAGAAGATCATGTTCAACGCACAGTAGTAGTTGTAGTAGTAGCAGCAGCAGCAGTGGTGGTGGTGGTCGTAGTACAAGTAGGGGTGATGGTACGATTGTTATGTTATCACTGTCGACGATTTTACACATTGGACATTCCCATCATGGTGGTGGTGGTAGTAGAAGTAGTAATAGCAGTCGTAATAATTTTTCAATATTG